GGGTCCAAATTTGCCATCCTCCTGCCTCAGCTTTGCAAAATTCTGGGATTACTGGTATGTGCCACCACCACACTCAGTTACCAAAGGTCATTTTAAAAATTCATCAAACAAAACAGTAAACTTGCTAACTCTGAACAAAATGAAGACATATATATTTATAAATATTCCTAACAAACCTCTAGCAGAAATTATCTCCTATGCCCTTTAACATATTCTACAAGAAAATGGTTAAGAGTGTACATTCCTGATATTTTCTACAAAAATAAAATCTGTCCCCTTAAATTATATTAATAAAGTATAAAATCTTCTTTGCCTAAAAAAAAAAAAAAAAAAAAAAAACCACCACTAGGTCAGTCTGGAGATTCCTCAAAAAGCTGGGATTGGAAGTCCCATTTGACCCAGCCATTCCACTTCTAGGCATATTCCCAGAAGAACTGAAAACATCATACCACAGTGATATATGTGCATCTATGTATATAGCAGCACAATTTGTAATAGCCAGATCTTGGAACCAATCTAAGTGTCCATTAACTGAGGAATGGATAAAAAAGTTGTGATATTTTTATACAATGGAGTACTTAGCTATAAAGAATGATCACATTGAGATATTTATAAATAAATGGATGCAACTTGAAACCATACTCATAAGCAAAATAAATCAAACTCACATGTATAAATACCGTATAGTCTCCCTAGTGTAAAAAATGGTAAGAATATATAAGATTTTATGGTAATCATGATTCCCCATTACATTGCTTGGAAGCCTTTAATGTTTTCATTCACTAGTTTGGAATGGTTTTATTGTTCTGTTTGATTTTTTATGTGTGATAGTATGAACAGCTATTTTGAAGGAAAAAAGACATTGTGGCAGCCATTGCTGATTTAATATCATCTTGCTTTGAAGTCCTACCATGCTTTTTTGCTTCTGTTTCCATTGGCTCTATCATGTTGTATCTTATTGGATATTAATATGTGTGACAGTATAAACAAATTTTCTCTGGAAAATTAGATAATATAGTAGCCATTGTTTCATTTTCTGTTATTGGTTCTGAATGCCTTTTAATACTTTCATTCTCTTGAATGGTTTTATACTATTTTGTTATGTTTGATACTATTGTATGTGAAGTATGCTCAACTATTTCAAAGAAACATTATGGTAGCTACTGTTAATATTCGGTTGTCTTGTTCAAAGTGCTGTGTTGCTTACATTGTTTTGTTCTGATCTGCTTTGTTCTGTCCTCTTTTGTCTTAATCTATTTAAAATTTTAAAAAATCTTTAAAAAAACCTACCACTTTGAAAATGGTTAATGAGCAGATGCCTTATTAGCCTTTCAGAAGACCAAAACTTCACTGCTTTCCTACAAACACAATTAGCTGTTTCCTAAAATAATTTTACAAGGTAGGAATTCCTTCATAGTAGATTACAAGTATTTATCCTCAAGCATATTTTAACTTTTGTTTAAAGCAAAGCAGATGGATTTGTTCAAATTTGAAAAAAATCACATATGAAAAGTGATTTTATCACCTGTAACAACTGATGTTTTCAATTCTTCTTGTGCCAACCCTGACTAATGTGTATTTCTTCTTTTAGAACTGAACTATGGCTCTAATAGGAAATAAATTCCTGTGTGACACACTTAGCAATAAAACTGAAGTTAAGTAACTAAATTAAGTGGAATGAAAAGATTCTACACAGAGAAATGTGTTACAAAAAATTACTAGGGGAGGCTTATGAAAATTCCCAAAAAACAAGCAATCATTATCTTTTACTGTATAGCAAAAATAAAAATAAATTAGGAGTGATGAAGAAAAAGAAGCAATTATATATTCTAATGGAAGAATCACCACTTGTTGGATGCAAAGATGAAGGGGTCAATGAATCAAAAATGACCTTGGCATTTTGATTTTCAGACAACTATGTGGATGACAGCCTCCTTGTCAAGCCCAGAAGTTACAGGAGACTGGCTGGAGAAGACAGGTAAGGTCATTTTAATTGTTGATATGAATATTAGCAACTGCGTATACTTAGTAACAGTCAAGGCTGGCTTTGATCCCCAGCACCATTAAAAAAAAAAAAAAAAAAGAAAGAAAAAGGTAGAATTTCAAACTTAGGGTCAAACTTTTGCCTAGCAAAACTTATGTTATTAACTAAATAAAAGAATTAGGTAAAATTCCTTTTAGGATCATAAGGCACAGAATTTATGGCTCTAATAGGGGTTCAAACGTGAGCACGTTAAGTGACTTCAGAATATCAATGACCTGCAATCGTGCGACCAGAAAATTCCAATCTGAGCACTTCAGGAGTGTGCAGCAGTCAGTCACTTAGAATCACCTCTTGAGCCCCCTAAAACATCATAGAGAAGTGCCACATTGTGATCTCCTTTCTAGAAACATAATACTATGATGACAAACTCCAGAAAGCCTACCTGAATCTTCTCTCTCTGCATCAAAAAATATTTATACATAGCCTTCTTGACTTGTATCTGTATTGAACCATTAGTCAGCACACATTTAACACCTCTCTTGACCAGTTTCTGTTTAAAGACATTTTTTTAAACAAGGGGGAGTATTTATTTTAAAAAGAAAAAAAAAGGATAGAAATGATACAGAGTTTCAAAAAACAGGAAATTAACACTAGTTAATATATTATGTATTGTTATCTTAGAAGTAGCTGCTCAGGTTACAAGATCTAGGCATGAAAAAAATAATCAAATGATCAAACAATGAAAACATAAACTGTTCTTTTTGATGAAGAGATTAGTAGTATAGTTATCTGTCTTGTAAATATATATACATACATACATATACATATATTTATTTACATATAATTTTTCCCTTATTCCTTTTCTCCCCTATTCCAGTTGTTCTTCCTTTTTGAGCACTTTTTTTCCTTTTCATTAACACAATATCTATTATACATTTTGGATATTACTCTGTTTTTTACACTAGGGAGACAATGATATTTACACATGTAAGTTTAATTTATTTCACTTATGAGTATGGTCTCAAGTTGCATCCATTTACCTATAAAAGCCTCAAGGGTATCCCTCTTTATAGGTCAGTAATATTCCGTTGTATAAAAACACCACATCTTTTTATTCATTCTGCAGTTGATGGGCATTTAGGTTGTTTCTAAGATTTAGCTATTACAAATTTGTGCTGCTATAATCATGGATATACACATATCACTGTGGCATAATGTTTTCAATTTTTCTAGGAAAAAAGCCAAAAGGGGAATAGCTGGGTAGAATGGGACTTACAATCCCAGTTTTTTGAGGAATCTCCACAGATTTCCACAGTGGTTGCACCAGTCTACACTCCCACCAACAGTGGAGAAGCGTTCCTTTTCCCCCACATCCTTGCCAACATTTGTTATTGGTTGATTTTTTTTAAATAAGACATATTTATTATGCTAAAGAACAGAGTTTAATTTTCCATTTTACCAAAACACTAAAATAGCACACAACATAGTAATTTAACACACAATACAAATTGATATATGCAATTATTCCCCAGAATGACTATTTTTAGCTTCGCTTTGGTAGTCCTTAAAAATAACACTCTTAAGTAGTGGCCTTTATTAAAGTTATCAACAAGTTACTTCAGAAAAGTCTTAGTGTAAAAAGAGACTCAACTCCTTGGATCTGAGAACTTTTGTAAGGGAAAATACTTTATCTGCTTCTCTATAGCTGAGCTACAGCAGAGTCAAGTTCCTTTTTACTTTGGGTAACACTGCTAGGAATCCTAGCTTGAGAAAATTATTCTAAGTTGAATATTGCAACTTTAACCACAGGGCCTCCATTGAAACTGCATTTCAAGTAGAAAGACATGTAAGGAACCCAATTTTGCTGCAGACCAAAATTAATCTACAAAATGCAGAAATAGTAACAGCTCACCACGAACTCAGCAAGGCTTCATAAAAGTACAGCGGGTAAACTTTACAAAGATCCACTTCCATTTGGTGATAGAACAGCTGAAGAGACACACAATATCTAGGACAACAGCCCTTTAGATTCGGTATTAGAGATAAAGAACTTGGTGGTAAGCATGTTCGCAGCTGATATTATAGTGGATATATCAATAGCCTCTTGAAAGGGTTTCCCAATTCTTGTCTTACAATCGCAATTTAAAACATGCTCAAAAATTTCCTGCTGAATTACCTTTTAGCAAGTATATACTAGACTTAGAAAGTCTGTCTAGCAGAAAACAGGAACTGAATGGCTGCACTGTTGACATCCAGATTTAATGCAAAAAAATCATTCTAAGACAACTTTTAAAATTAAGTTACTATTTTTATTGTTCTGCTTGTACCTTAACTATGGCCTACTAGATTTGCCAATGTCAAGGGTTATACAGCCAATAACCCCAGTGTGATCTGAAGACCATTTGAAGTAAAATTTATATTTGAAAGCATGTTCCTGTAACCTGTCATCTGCTCTGAAAGCACAGGCATTAGCTGATGGAGGTGGTCACATCTTGTCTCATCCTTCAGGAGGCTTCGAGGATGTACAGTGCAGTGAACCAGGCAGTTGGGAACACAGGCAGGACAGTTCTAACTCAGAGCCTTGCCCCTCAGGAACAGTCCTCACCGGCTCACCCTGAGAAACTCTCACTACCCAGTTGCAAGTGGCCTGGTGGCGTGAACACCCAGGGCTCTCCGCTGGAGCACTGTTCTCTGTGGCTGTCCGTGGCTCCGGGGCCTCTTCCTGACCAGTTCCTCTGCACAGCTTCCCTAATAGCGTGGGGCAGCGTGGCAAAGCACTGTCCCACAGGGACAGATACAAGGACCTGGGACAGACACACAGTCTTGCTGGGAACCACTGCCAGGGCTGAATTTCTTCCCATGGATTCCTTCAAATACAGAAACACCCTGTCAGTGGGAGGCAGGAGGTCGGACTCACTCAGACCATTTTTCCTTTCCAAGGACAGCACTTCACTCTGCGAGTTTTCATTTCTGTCAACTGCAGGCGTGTTCAGCTGGGAAGGACAATGTGCAGGCCAAGGGCTCCCCTCCTGCGTGCTCCTCTTGAGGCTGTGTGACAGTCTGTCCCAGTCCCCTCCTCCCTTCCCCTTTGCTTTGGCCATGCAGGTGCCAAGGGCCCCTCTTCTGTCCCTCATGCTTTCCGTTCTTTGCCGTGGTGAGCCTAGGGTGTGGACTCTGTAGGGAGGGTATGGCCTTCAGTGGATCTCAATATGAACCTGCAGGCGCACGTTGAGCATCACAGAAGCCACGATGTAGAGGTATGGGAAAGTGATGCGCAACCGCCAGGCCAGATCAAAGAAGAAGAGCAACCTGCGAGTCAGCCTCTTGCAGAAGACCCCATAAGAGCGGGCGAGGGCTGAGCGCGAGAGCCAGACAGCCAGGTCCGACAGAACTGCCGCCATATAGAGATGTTCTCCGTGTCTCCCGCCCACCCCTGGTCCCTCCCTTCCTCTCCACTTCTCCCCAGCCTCGGCCCCACCCTCTGGCCCCCACTCTGTGAGCTCAAGGATTGAGGGAGGCAGGCGGCAGCATGACATCACAAAAGCCCCTGGGTTGATTTCTTGATGGCAGCCATTCTTTCTTGAGTGAGATGGAATCTCAATGTTGTTTTAATTTGCACTTCCCGATGACCATTGATGTTGACTGTTTCTTCATGTATTTATTTGCCTTTTTTATTTCTTCATCTGAGAAGTGCATATTCATCTCAGATGTCCATTTTTGGATTGGGTCTTTGAATTTGGGGGTCCTGTAAAAGACATAGTTCTATGTTTACATTTCCCTTTCCACTACTAGTATCCTTATTGTTCAACTTCTAAAGGTTCAGTATGAGTTCTGAGTTAAAACTTAACACTATCAAAAAATTCTCCACCAGACAGATCTATGCAAAAAATTTTTTATAACAAAGATGCTTATTCTCTGCCACTTCTATCTTTTTATAGTTAGTTCGTATTTATCAATTTAATCTTATTCACATCTTCCTTCTACTTGTTTGCCTTCTTTTGCCTAATTCCTTCATTTAGTTATATCGTAAGTTTTGCCAAGAAAGAAACTTGACCCTAATTTTGAAGTTCAACAGTTTTTGCTGTTTTTTGTGACGTTAGGGATCAAACCCAAGGCCTGAGAATGCTAGGAAAGGACTGTACTTTGAGTTATCCTTAAACCCACTACTCAACTTTTCAATTTTAAGCAAAGAGTGTAGAGTAAATCAACACTGAGTCACTAAATAGTTGTGTGTCACTGCTATTTAGTCAGATGACTTAACCTTTCTGAGCGTTGGTTTCCTCATTTGTAAATGTAAATACCCCTATCACTGAGGAATATTTTCAGATTAAAGGGGGGAAAAGAAAATTAGACTAATTGGTAAACAATTTGATAACTGTTAGTTATATAGAAATTTTTTGTTATCAAGTAATGAGCTCACAGGCCAGTTCAGAACTCTGTAACCAATAGCACTATAGATACTTCCTAATTCTGTCAATTCAATAAATGAGTACAGATGACATTTTTTAATATCTTGCACTATTGTTTTTATCTATTTATTTGTCCTACCGATTGAACTCCCAAGGCCTCTGAGCTATGAGATATAATCAAATTATACAGTGAAATTATTAAACATTCTTATTTCATGAAAGAATAAAGCAAAATTTAATAAATAAGAGAATACAACAGTTCCTACCCTGCATATTATTATCTTTACAGTAGTTACTCAGAGTACAAGACATAGGGGCTGAGGGTTTAGCTCAGCAGTATAAGTGCCTGTCCAGCAAGCGCAAGGTCACGGGTTCAATCCCCCATACCAAAAAAAAAAAAAAAAAAAAAAAAAAGACATATACCAAAAAGATTTATACAAAATACAAATCGATAAGAAAACAAATCTTTCAACAAACTATGATAAACTAGTAGTACAGATGAGACCAACTAGGATATATACAGAAATTTTTTTAATGAAACTTGTAATTTGGGGAAGTATATGAACTTTTTCCTATTTTCTATTTATCTCTTTTCTATTTTGTTTTGTATTTCTCACATAAGAGAAACCATGCAACATTTGAACTTGTGTCTGACTTTTTTCACTTAATATTATATTCTAAAAATAGCCCAATCAATGATCAAATGAATTGAACAGACATTTCTCAATACAAATAAGCTAGGCACAGTAGTGTATCCTTGTAACACCAGCACTATAGGAAGCCGAGACAGGAGGAAAGTTTGAGCCCAACTTGGGCAACTTAGCAACTTAGATTCTGTCTCAAAATGAAATAAAAAGAATTGGGGGTTTACCTTAGTACAAACCCCTGGGTTCAATACCCAGTACTACAATACCAAATCAAACAAAACACAACCCAAATGGCCAATGAGTATATGGAAATATGTTCAGCATCTTTTGCCATTAGAAAAATGGAGCAAAATAAAAGCAACACTGAGATTCCATCTCACTTCATCAGAAGACTTTATCATTCAGAATACAAAAAACAAACGCTGGTGAGAATGCGAGGTAAAAGAAACACTTATACACTGCTGGTAGAATATAAGCCAGTACAACCCCTATGGAAATCATAATGGATGCTCCTCAAAAAACTAGAAATGTAATTACCTTATGACCCAGCTACATCACCCCTTGGTACACACATGAAAGAATTAAAGTAATAGTATAGGAATACCTTGTACAAGGAAGGAAAATATAAAGATCAGAGCAGAAATGAATGAAAAATAAATTTCAAAGTTCACAGAGACGTTCTAACAGTTCTGTAATGCCCTAGAAGGAAGTAACATTTGACTGCAATAGAAAGCTTACAGTATATTTCAAGAAAGGAGCTGCTACATTTCATTTAAACACATAGCTACAAGCAGAAATGAGGGCTACTATAGCTTATATCAATTGTATCACTGATTTGAAATAGGACAGTGACCATGCTGATAATGACCATAGGTGTAGTAACTTTACATTATTTGAGATTTCTTACATGCCAGGCAGTATCCTGAGTGTTTTGTATTTGTTATTAATCCTCCCAACAACCCTATGAAGTGAATACTTTTATACTACTTGATATATAAAAAAAGGAAGGTTGGCAGAGCTAGATTTCAAACCTAGATAAGAGTAAAAATTTTAAACATCTAGTACCACAGCAACAAATTAGGTGCTGACAATAAGACACCTAATGTTTCAGCAGTCAGAGCTATTCGGGTATCTGTGTGGGAAGTGGAGTGTCATATTCTCTCAATTGTACAAGCTAAAGCAGGAAGGATATAGAAAAAGAAAGGATTAAATCTCATGGTAGCAATTCTTGAGTTTTCAAATACTAAAACTCATGACACTACCAAATTGAGCATGGCCTGTTTGGGGCATAATTAGAGTTCTCCAGAGTAAAAGCTCCCCACCTGTTTCCCACCTGACACACAGTGATGGATGAGGGCATTAGAAGCTGAAGCTACATGCTGTCATATGTTCCACACACCTCTACAGACATGCATAGGCCTACAAAGCACGCCCGTGACACCAGCTGCACCTCTACACTGCCTCACCTTCCTCAGGGGAACATATTAGAATGGAAATGAGAAAGAGCAGTAATAAATTGTACTCATATCAAGCAAGTTAATATTAGTATTTATTGAACAATGGTATTATGCACCAGTCTTATTGAAGCCCTTTGCTACTAGTAATCCAAAAATAACATTATTTCTATTTTATTTCCATTTTACAGATGAAGAAACTAAAAATAAATAACTGGCTGAAGATTACACATAAGAGAAATGGTAGTAACACAATTCCTACAAAGAGGTCTGGATGCAGATCCTCAACTCTTAAATAAGACATGAACTGTTTGTCAGCTTTCCATGAGGCATGACCTAACAGGAAGGTACGCTGGGAATTTCAGCAACTCCATGTAAGATGTAAAGCAAAAAGATAAGAACTTTGGCCTCTGCTGGATAATCTTAAAAAGTTCCTCGGGTTCAGAAAGAATGGCTCATCATCAAGAGCTCAAATAATAAATGCTGGTGAGGCTGCAGGGGAAAAGGAGCCCTTCTACATTGTTGGTGGGAATGTAAACTAGAACAACCCTGGAACTTAGCATGGAGGTTCCTCAAAAACGCAACTATAGAAATTCTATTTAACCTAGCTATTCCCTTTCTAGGAAGGTTCTTGAAACAGTTAAAGATATCATATTGCAATGGCACATGCATATCCATCTTTAGAGCAGCACAATTCATAACAGGTAAATCTTGGAAGTGGCCTATATGTCCATCAATAGATGAAGAGATAAAAGAAATATGGTATTCATACACAATAAATAAAAAACAACCAACACAAAAATTGTAGCTCACAGCTGAACTAAATTCCCAAATCAGTTATGAACACATCTTTTTATTTTCCAGATTATTATTCATTTGCACTTTATCAGACACTGACATGAAAGAACCAAAAATTAGCCAGGTATGGTAGTGCTGGCTATGCTCCTAGCCCCCATGGAAGCTTATGCAGGAGAATCACAAGTTGGAGCACAGCTGGGGGGTGTAGCTGGGAATGTAGATCAGTATAAAGACCCTAGGTTCAAGCCTCAATACAAAAAAAAAAAGAAGGAAAAATTTAAAAGTTTAGCTGAGCAAACTGTCAAACACAGGAGCTATAATTTGATAGACATAAAGATGTACACCAAATTATTCATTCCTAGGATAGTTTTTCTGATTTGGATTAGAATGTGAGAGACCTAATAACAAACATATTTAGAACTAGATTACAATAAATTGTCACCAGAAGCATCTTCTTTTAACCATTACTAGATAAGATCTCGATTCTCTTTCCCTTGTTTCTAAGCACAAGAAGCTCAAAATGGAACAGAAATAAGCAGAAGCGTGTGTGTGTGTGTGTGTGTGTGTGTGTGTGTGTGTGTGTTTTTATTTCTTGGACTTAGCAATCCTCCTGCCTCAGCCTCCTGCATGCTGTGATTACTGGCATGTGCCACCATGCCCAGTCGAGCAGAGGGTATTTAAAAACTACATATCTAATCATCCAGGAGATAACCAGATCAACAGGGATGAGAAGAAACAAGTTCCCTCTTCCCCTCTTCTTTGCCCTTAATGAGGCCAATCATTGTATCCAATCAATAGATGCTTCATTTTTCTTCTGGACTAGATGTCTGCATCATCACTGCATAAATCTTTTTTAGTAATATACTCTAAACCTCCTCTTACTAAAAATTTTAGTGTTTACTGTCATATAGAGAAAATCATTATTTGATCTGATTATCTTTCTGTCACACATGTTAAAAAATATTCTAAGGTTTTGGGGGAAGGTAAAAATGAGGAAATATAATGAAAACAAAACCATTCCCAGTGTGTGTCATTTAGTTAATGGTGTTCTAGTACATAGCATTCAACTGCTTCCTAAAGTTACCACATTTGCTCCCAGGAAACAGTAAAACAGACTTTCACACAGCACATGTTATTTTACATGAGGCTTACTTATTCCACTTGGGATAGATAAAAGGAAGTCACTGTACTGAACAATTATGCTAACAAAGGGGAAATATCCAAATTTTCAATTGTTACAGATGATGACTCAGTGAGTGGCCAGTTACAGAAACTCAATCAGAGTTGATGCTAAAAAAAGCTAATGCTCTCATGAAGACCACTGAAAAGCTGTTCTTGGGGGATGGTCTTTTGCATCATATTTTTGTTTAATTTCATTATAAGAATTATAAGAATTACAAAGTACTGCATACCTCACAGAGGGAGATGATGAATTCT